CGCCCTGCATTTGAATACACACCTTCCATAGGTTATCGACACAAACTTTGGCAGTGGGCAGTGTTCATCAGGGGGCTGCTCCCACTGCTCACATCGAGCTCCTTTCTCCCAGGGCTGATTCTCACAAGGTATTTATTTGACTGAGAGTCTAACTTTGACCCTTTATTCAGTTAGGCAGCTTAGATCTATGTCTGACATCTCCAAAAGTTTGTAATGCAAGTCATTAGGGTTTTTTTTTTTTTTTTTTGGAAAATCAATCAACAAATATGTTTTTGCCCACTTACCTGACTCAAGAAATGTTGCAATATGCTATATCTTTATTTAAAGTTGAAAAGAAGTTCCCTCACCTACCGCTCTGCGAGGATTTTCTTTTCTTTTTTTTTTTCCCTGTCTTTTTCCTTTTTATCGGTACCAGGGATCGAACTCACAACTGCCTGCTTCCAAGGCAGGTGCTTATGCCACTGAGCTAAATCCCCAGCCCCTCTGTGAGGATTTTCAAGACCATTCTTCACATCTCGCATTCCCTTGGAAATTGCTCAGTCATCATAGTGTATGTGGTCCCATGCATCCAATAACTAAAAAAAGGACTTTATACTGCACTTAAAACCAAAGTTTGAACAAGTCATAACAATGGCTAGCGAAGCCTAACGGGTTCATTGCCTTTATGTATGTCCTGCCTCCATTCCCCTCATGCTCCTAGAGTCAAACTTAGCACTGATGGAACCTACATATCCCCACTGTGAGTATTCAAGTTTTAAATAACACCTATACCCCTACATCTGCTCATAAGCCTGCAAAGACTTTTCATCTACAAAATAGACCCCACTTTCTCTATTCATAAGGAGCATTCTTCTCTATTTCTAATCTTTGAAATGTTCAAAGGAAGTACAAAAGTTCCACTGCAAACTATTTGAATACTTAGATATATAAAGTATATTAACAAAGTATTGATAATGCAAAAATATTAGTAATGTAAGATAGTGCAAAAGATTACTCCATGAATTTTAACTCAAATTATTAGTAAATATTAGAGTAGTCCATAAGAAAGTATTTACTAAATTTCATATATACCCACCAACATTTTATTCTCATTTTGCAAGCTAAACAAGATTTTGAAAAGCGTAAACCTCTAGTGCATAAAGAAAAATATTCCTCAGGTTATCACTGACCCTTCAATTTTGCTTCTCAAAAATATTCCATTTTCAGTCAATAGATGCATTTTGGTTTACTAAAGAGGTTCTTAGAAGGAAGAACTAGTACATCAATGATTTCTAAGTTATTTAAAAATCAATCATTTACAGAAGAAGTGAAGTATAATAGTATTATATATGGCTAGCAGAAGTAGATACTAGGCTTCGTTTTTCTTTGCTTGGAAAGTTGTGGTGTCCCTATGATAAGTGGAAGTGTTAAATGCATTAAAATGTTCTGTAAAAAAGGATGGTGGTTATTTTTAGTTCTCAAAGCTACGCATTCATGGAATCTTATGTACTCATCCTCTCACTGGTGTCAGTGTGACACACGAATATTCAGTATTGTTAAATGAAGCAGTGAATGAGAATGTTGTCCTGAAGCTTTATGGGTTGCCTGCTACATCATAGTCCAAGTTATTCTAGGTCAGTTATATAAAAGCATTGGATTTGGGGTTAAGCGCACTTGGAGGAAGAGACTTGAGTTCGAATACAAGCTAGCCCGCTGACTTATTCACTCTATGAATTTATGCAAATAGCTTAATTTTTCTGAGCCGAGACGTTTATCTTTCAGAAACTGAAAGCATTTTGCTGAATGTACTGATTGATTCCTGATTCCTCTGGACTCAAAAATATCCTTTGTCTTAAGTAAATTAGTCTATTTCATGCTGGAAAAAAAGTTCTAAGCTGGCTGACACCTTGGGGCTACCCCTAGAAACCAGTAATGAAAAATATTCATATGATTTCTTTTTCTTCTTGCAACAAAATACTCTCAGTCCAGTTACTTGAATTAGAAAAAATGACTTTTACCAGAAAATAACCTGTAGCTTGAGCCATTTGAAAGATTCAATTACAAAAAAAAAAAAAAAAAAAAAAAAGGTATACACAGGCAGTTCAGCATCATCTAGTTTAAAATTTGTTTCACATTTGTCTTTACCCTCCCCTGCTGCATCTCTCCCCCATTTATCTCTTTGTTTGGAAAGTCTTTATTGTACTGGGTGTGTTTCTTTCAAATATCCTAATATCCAGTTTCCTTAAATCTCTAATGGTGTTAAGAAGTCCAATAATTTCTCCAGGCCAAGCTCCATGCCTGTGGAGTTCTTTATCTCCTAGAATGCATCTTCCTGGTGGAATATCTGGCTCCTTTGTCACTGACTTTACTTCTTTCTCCTGATTTTGTTTTTTCCTTGTTCTCTTGCCTCTTGCACACTTTTACTGTCACATTTTTTACTTGAGGTTGATTTCACAACCTAGGCACCTGAGTAGTCTGAGCCTTTCTACGCAGACTTCGTAATATAACTACATAACTGTTGTATACAGGGGCTTAAATTCTGGTCCTTTGAAATGTCAAAGTATAGGAAGCTCTGTGTAAACAGAGGGAGGGGAGAGAGAGAGAGAGAGAGAGGAGAAAGTAAAAGAAGTTCTTTGTTTTTGTAATCCTTATAATCTATATACCTTCAGGTTCCTAATTTTTGTTGTCTAACTTTTTATAGACTTTTATTCATTATGCTTTGTTTTCTTAAAGGGAAGTCAAGGCTCTAAAGTGGTTGTTTTTTTGAGCTACTAGAGGGTCTTTCCTGCACACATGTCTACTCTGATCATATTTTTTTCTTCCATAAGGAGCAATATTTGTATTAAAGAACCACTTAGCATCAGTATCCACGTACAGATGTCCTATCCTATAAGAAAAGTGCCTCATTCAGAAAATCAAAGTGGAATAAAATAAATAACATCTTGGCTCTGTGCTCCATTCACAACTGTTAATTTTATAGGGTTATGATCGCATCTCTGAGTGGAGAGCTCCTGGCAGGGACAGCTGCTCCCATGCCCCAGATTGTACTGTGTGAATCCCAGTAGGAGTCATCAAGAACATCAGACTGGCAGGAAGGTGGGGGAGGAGGGGAGAGAGAGAGAGACAATTGTAGCATGGCAATGGGAGACCGAAACTGATTGGCCTTTTCCTCTTTCCTTCTTTGGATGAATATATGCATGACTGAGGAAAAGAAAAGACATCTTGAAGTTTGCTGAGAAAATTGTCAGCCCTGCTTTTACCCTCTTGCATATTCTGTTCAAAAATATATTTATATATCCACTGGCATGGCGATGGATCTACGCAATGGCAGGCCTGTGTCCACCAAAGAATGTCAAACAGTATTGTATCACAAGTGGCAGAATCTGGGTCACTGGGACAGGGCTGGTATGACAGGTGGAAAACGTACTGTGTGTTGGCTGCTGTGGCTTACTTCCTAAACAGGAGCAAGGCCAAGGTCAAGGATATGGCAGATTTGAACCAAGCATGGGACATGGTAGATGATGATCTTTTCTGAACGGTCTTTTGAAGAAGTTTGCTGCATTGCTCCCTGCTCATTGTTATGTGTACCCCAGGGTCTAGAACAGTACCCACAAACATGAACAAAAGGTTAATGCTCATCAGTTAAAGCAAGGAAGCAATGAACATCATCAGAAGCCAGTTGCAGCATCCTTGCTGAACAATGGAACTGTCTAGAATTTTGTGTACTTGCATGTATCTTTTAGTTCTGTCTTGTGATTTAATTTCCAAGTGGAAAAATGTCACTTGTAGTACTTAGGAGGCTGCAAATATTGGTTTCAAAAACTAAAAATTGTGTCTTTTCATTTTCTTTCTTTGATACCAGGATCACTTTATTGATGATAACAGAAAACTAATTTTAGGCTTAAACTGTTTTGGGAATAAGAAATTTAACTTAGCAGCTAACACATCACTTCTTGAAAAAATGGAAATAGTATTTTTTCGTTTTATAGAAGATTCCATTTGATAGAAATAGAATAATGAGTATTTTTTATGTTCCAAACATAAAGACCTGGTGTGATTCTCTTTGTTGTCCCACACTTAAAAGAAAGTAAACATCATTTTGTTACCAGCATTCTGAGTAGTCAAATTCTGTACAAATTCCTTAAGGCAGTGAATTCATTGAGATTTTGCATAAGTCCTGATGGAATTCATTGTTTCTATATTTATTTTCCTTGAATATATTATTTTCCTTGAATGTATTATTTTCCTTGAATATATTTTCTCTGCTAATCTTGAAATATTAGGGAAGAATGTAGACTTTTTCATAATATATTTTTCTTTCTTTCTTTCTTTTTTGGTACTGGGGATTGAACTCACAACCTTGCACTTGCCAGACAGATGCTTTATGTAGCTGAGCTTAACCCCTGCCCCTACAGAATATGTTTTAAACTACGGAGTTTTACAGAATGGCCCACAAATCCTGAAAACACAGTGTCATTCAGAATGCTTTGATAAAACCTAGGGCAAATTTAATTATCATGATGTATCTTTTACTTTTTTATTAGTACATTTTAGATACACCTAATGATCACATTATCACAGGAAATTTCTACTTGTCCATGATATATCTTGCTGCTTCTTTCTTTCCCCCTTCTCCTCCCCTCCCTTCAACTCCTCTTGACTTATTTACAAAAGCTTCCTTTCCATTCTTTTCCCCTTCTGTTTTTTTTTTTTTTTGTTTGTTTGTTTTTTTTCTTCTTGTCCTTGTTCTTCACCTTTTAAAAAGGATGGCTTCTATGGGGAGTTGAGAACTGAGCCAGGGAAAGGTAACATGAAATAGTAGCAGTGACTTTGTAATGTCAAAACCACCATGGTTTTTCCTATAAAATGCCATGGGAGAGGCAGCTGGCTTCATTGGAACTTTCACGGTATTGCTGATTCCTAACTTATAAACTGCTCAGTGCCCACTGCTGAATGTCTTGAGCTGCAGGCAGAGAACACCGAGAGAGCTTTCCTTTCTTGTCCCTCTTTTCTCCATAAAGGTTGAAAAAAATGATGAGGACCAAAAGATTGAACAAGATGGCATCAAACCCGAAGATAAAGCTCATAAAGCCGCGACCAAAATCCAGGCGAGCTTCCGCGGACACATAACGAGGAAAAAGCTCAAAGGAGAGAAGAAGGGCGAGGCCCAGGCCGCGGAGGCCGACGCCGGCGAGCAGAAGGAGCCCGCGCCCGCCGCGGACGCAGCGGCCCGAGAGGGAGACGGCGCGGCCGAGGCGGCCCCGGGCGCCGGGCCCCAGGCCGAGGAGCCGGGCGCGGCCGGGGACGCGGCCTCGGAGGAGAAGAAGGGCGAGGGCGGCCCCGGCGCGGCCCCGGAGCAGGCCGCCCCGGCCGCCGAGGAGAAGGCCGGCTCCGCCGCCGCCGCCGAGACGGAAAGCGCCGCGAAAGCCTCCGCCGACACCTCGCCGTCCTCCAAGGCCGACGACGGCCCCAAGGAGGAGCCTAAACCAGCCGACGTGCCTGCCGCCGCCACCGCTGCTGCCGCCACCTCCCCCGCTGCCGAGGACGCCGCCGCCGCCCAGCCTCCCACGGAGCCCGCGGAGAGCGGCCGGGCCGAGGAGAAAGGTGAGCCGGGGGCTGGCCGCGGGGAGGGGGCGCGGGGAGAGGGCGGCGGGCCGCGGGAGAGGGCGCGGGGAGAGGGCCGAGGGCCGCGGGAGAGGGCGCGGGGAGAGGGCCGAGGGCAGCGGGAGAGGGCCACTCCGGATGGTGTCCTCTGGAAATGGGGGGGGGGTGCTTGTGCTCAATTCTCCCAGACACCCCCAAGCTTAAGAAACGTGTGCATAGCAGCCAGTACTAGGGAGATCGGGCCATCATCTCTGAAGGAGTGCTATCCACAGTCAAGTTAGATAAACCTGGTTAAAAAAACAAAACAAAACAAAACACGCTTGTCTCTATTTAGTTTAATAAGTAATCACTCCGGGTGCATTTTTTTTTGGGGGGGTGGTCAGAACAGGTTAATATGGTTATTTGGCTCTACAAAGAACTTGGTCTAAATACAGCAAATTCCTTATTGATCCAGATGATTTAGTGTGTGACTTGCTGGCAGCCAAAACCTAATCTTAGATTACAGTAGTGTGTTTCTGAGCATTCCACTCGCCATCATTTGGTGACTAGTGTGTGTGTGTGTGTGCACAGTTTTGTGTTTTTTTGTTTGTTTATTTGTTTTGGACGAGGTGGGATTGAACTCATGACCTCACGCTTGCCAGGCAGGCATTTTTGCCCCTGACTAAATCCCTGACCCTGTATAGAGAATGTTAACTGTGACACTAAGTAAGGTGAATCATAATTAGGAAAGTAAATCAGTTGATATTGCCAAAAACAAAAGAAAAAACACTAAATACACATATTGAAGTCAAGGATAAATTAGTGTATTACTGCAGATACTGTTTTCTTCCTTATACATAAATAAAGAAATAGGTTCTCTCAGGTTTGGAGCGCTAACTCAAGTTACTGTGTTTTCATTATTATTGGCCAAAATGCCTGTGCAGGATTGGCATGGAACATCCGAGGAACAAGAAAAATACCTTCAGCTTTGGAGACTAGGTTTATTCTCCACCCCAGTAAAGGCACAGTGATGTAGGAGGCCAACAGCTTGGAGGTCTTTCTCTGACCTAGTACAACTCATGATCTATCATGACACTAACTCCAGAGATCTTTAAAGTTGCTTCTGTGCCAACTTAAATTTTGGAATTTACTTATACTTTTAGAACCCAATAGATTTTTTTTTTTTTTTTTGAGTAGCAGGAATCGAACTCGGGACTTTGTATTTGCCAGGAAGGTGCTGTGCTCCTGAGCTCCACAACCCATACATTTAACCCACACTGTGAGCACAGGTCCACATATAGGCGGGGTCCCATTATGACCTTGAGAAAAGACCTAGTTTGTGAGAGTGCTATCGGGAATATTCCAGTATCTCACCATCGGACTGAGAAGATAATCATTAAGCACTTGCCTCAATACACATTTCTCCAAATTAGTTGCTACAGGTTGACAGATGACCATTCTAGACATTTTCAGATAGACTTCTTTCATTTCACCGCTAAAATTCCAAGTGTGAATTTTGATTATACTGTCGTCTTTATGAACACACTGTCACACTCACCCCAGCTCTACATAAATCACCTGACTCTTTCTACCAGTGATGTATTTTAAGTATTGTAACTACAAACCTGCCCCAAGGGCCTGACCTTGATGTTATGGAGATGGAAATTTCCCCAGGAAAAGTAAGTATGTGATAAAGACAGATGTTGGTTTTAATTTACATAGCAAGGCCAGTCATGCTCTTTTCCTTTGGGTTTAATGTTTAAGTCTCAGTAAGATGTTTGGAAATCATTTTGGATGGGGACAGACTATCATGTTGTTCTCTAAATCTTGGAGATTAATCATGGTCTTAAACACAGAACATAATTAATTTGTCTACATCATAAATTTTTAACTGGAATTTGAGTATAGACATAAAGGCATGATGTCATTTTAGGTATAGACTCATTATTTGGGTTAATAGGAAAAAGGACTTAAATTCATGGAAAGTCTAATATATAATACATTTAAAGAAAATTCCATTTTGTTATTTTTAAAATTGTAGTCACTAAATAAATTATTAAAATATTTCATGTGGTATTCAACAAATGTCAAATGTTAAATGAACAAAAATTGGCTGGATTTAATTTTCAGATAATAATTTATTCACCAATTCATGTATTTTTCTTGCAAATTTTCTAACTCTATTTGATTAAAAATTATGTCTGGTTGCTGAAAATAAATAGAAGTTACATTCTGTCATAAATTTACAAATTTCATCTGAAAAGTCTCAAGTGAAAGGATTGAGTAATGTACATTGAAAGGTGATTGAAAGTACAAGTGAAGGTCAACCTGAAATAAATCACCAAGGGCAATTTATTTTCTACTTTTTGTCGGCTTTGCGTAGGTATTGTCCTCTTGATTCAGTTTTGACGTGCTGTTTGTAGTTTGTTTTTGAACCCAGTAATCTGTTAACCTCACTGGCTGTATGTGACAAGCACAAATTACTCAGTTGTGGTGAATTTCATGGAATCACAGAAACCCTAGATGACAAGGAGATCTATCACATCATATCATCCCCAAATTCCCAGAGTCTCTACAACACATTTCCTCCATCTCCCATTGGGTTTAATTCTCAGCCAAGTTACAATAGCAGAATTTTCAACTGTGCTGTTCTCTTTGGAAATGGTTGATTACCATGACCTTGGTTTAGGAGTCTATGGCTGTCTAAAGGGGATAGGAAAGGAGCTAAGACATTGAAGTCAGGGTGCAGAAAAAATATGTCAAAGGAGAGAATCTAAAAAATAATTTCTTTGAGTAAGAGAGTCAAACAGTTTGGACTAATGGTCCAAATGCCTGTGGAAATTATTTATAAATTTAAAATAGCCTTTTTTACATTTTTAATATTATTATTACTACTGTTGCTACTAAATACCACTTGGATTAGGACCTTAGCATTTAGTTAATTTTGTTTCTTTTTAAATTCTCTGACTTTATGTCTTTCTGCCTGTTTTACCACTCAGCTGGCCCAGGTCTCAATATGCCTGTGACCAAAATGTTTCATCATATTATGAGAAGAGTATTTAAGACATCTATAGAACATTGCTGCCTTCCTACCTTAGGAGAGAATTTTCAGACTCCCTTTAATGATCATGTCCTTGAGTCTCCTGCTGAGCAGTGTGCTCATTTGCTTGCAGCGAAGGAATTCTCTGGTTCCTTCACTCTAGGGTAGCCCACTGACTTTCCCCAATATGAAACTTCAAAACTTCTGCTGTGGCCATGTGCAGCCATGTAGCATGACTGCAGCAGCGCATCCAGGTGGCTGGCTGTCAACTGGTGACATCAGCTGGGTGACTGCAGCAGGGCCTTGACAGTGTTAGTAAGTGCTCAGAACTGGAGTTCTGAGTCACTCTGGATCTTCTGTGTATTGACATGGCTGGATTTTATTTTCATGGTCTCATGATTTTCAAGTTGGCGTCATTAACAGTGACCTGGACCAAAGCTGTTTCCATTTGCCATTCTCTGAATAGAAAAACTAACTGCATCTCCTCATCTTCTCTGCTCTTCTCTTTTTGTTTTCCTTCTCTCTCTTTCCTTCTCCCTGTGTTGCTTATTTCCATTTTTCGTTAGTTTTCTCTTCCATTTGTAGTAATGGTGCTATGCTAAGTACTGGGAGCACAAAGATGAGTAAGATATGGTCTGATCTTAGGGAGTTTCCAGTGGGAACTGGGCAAGTGATGACATTCAAGCAATATCTTTATAGTAGTACATTAATAATCCTAGTGAAATTCTGCAAGTTAAGTATGAAATACATTTATATGCCAAAATACTTAGAGATAGAATATGAATGAAATGGTCCTTTACGGGCCAAATGCATTTTGACTCACGCTAGAAAACAAGTTTTATATAATATGTATTGTGTAGCCAAATTACTAGCACAGAGAACCGATACAGCACTTACCATTTCCAGAATGATAATTACATATAAGAAAATGAAATACTCAGTCCAAATTTCTGGATTTCTGGAAATTCTGTATGTTTTCCACAACAATGTTTACTTAAATCCCAAGGAAACCACTCACTTTTTAGCTGTCCAAAAAAGAGATCCATTTCCAATGAGCTGTGAGATTTCCCAAGGATATTTACACTTATTTGGCAGGGTGCCTTATACGCGGTTTTGATGTGAAATGTGGTTTCAACCACTTCCCAAATTTATATACAGCTCATAAAGAGTGAAAAATTGAGTTGTGAAAGCCCTTAAATGCTGTTTATAGAACATGGGCACCTTGTCAGATACTCTGTGGTATGCTGCTTAAATACCGTTGATTATCACGCTTTTGTGGAGCACTTTTATATTGCTAAAGTAATCATTTTTATTGGCTTTTCTTGTCTACAATCCAGTGGCTTTTGATAATATTTTCTTTTCTAGTTTTATATTCTGAGGGAGGGAAATGCATATAGATATTCTGCCCATAGGCACAGTTGAACTGGTAGACCTCCAAATTCATTACTTAATATTAGCCCTACAGTGTGTTAGCCTCTTTCAAAATGTTTTAATTCTTGCATTTTCTCCTTCATTAGTTTAGCAGTTGCAACAATTTCTCCTTGTTTCGGGGAAATATCAACTAGGACATTTCTTGGGTACTCTATGTTTTAGATGCTCTAGAATGTTGGATTGGAATAAAAAGACCAAGATTCCAGTCTATTTATTTTTTAAATAAAGTTTAAAATATAAGCATCCTACAACAGATATCCTTTAATGAGCATTTATTAAGTGCATGATCCTAAATGAGTTGTGTGGGAATCATCCCATCTAACCATTGTAACACTCCGTGATGTAAGTAATTGCCCTTTCCTCTCTTGCAGATGAGGAATCTGGGATTTAGTAATCATAGAAGTTAGTCCTTGTCAATAGCCAGCTGAGCCAGATCCTAAATTCGGACAGTCTCATTGTAGAGGTCACTTGCTGAAACTTAACTGTCATTCATTGAATGACAGTGTAAGAAACAAAGGAAAGAGAGATGCTTAAGAACCCTCAACGTCGT